ATCGCTTGCGACTGGCCGTGCATCCATACTGAAATGTTGACGATCATTCTTTAGTTTTTAAAGATTAAGGACTAACTTACTTATGAGGCAATTAGATCGGGACCAATAATTAAAATTTTCATTCAACTTTCTTAATTTTGTCACTTTCTATTCATATACGTGTCTCATTTAGTGAAAGAATGCAAAAATTCGATAGCTTCACAACATTTGCATCCCATAACGCGTCATGATATAGAGTATTAATAGACGATTCATGCATAATGTATAAATTTTAAATTAAAAATGATTTTATACAAATGTATATTGATTTTGTATGATTTGAATTTCGAACACTTCAAGCATGTTTTGTATGCAGTAAACATTAATGCAAAACATTGCACAATGATACAATTTTAACTTAAATTTTTTATTTATAGTTATTATTATTTAATGCATCATGAAAAACATGCAATTGGATCCTTCAAAAGTTAGGCAGGGAAGCAAACTTTTGTCCATCCCAAGTCTATTTAACAAAGAACGAGTGGGCACTCCAAATTAATGTGCTCATTATCTACACCCAATCAATATTGAGACATGATGTCCCCTTCTATCATTCGCATACCATTCGTATATGGGCACTAATTTCGGATACAACTTGTAGAGTCGTCCATGACCATTAAGAAATAAATCCCACATTAAATAGAGATAAAAATACTAACCAAATTTGAGTTACTATTCATAATAAGATTGTTATTTTAAAATGAAATTTCACAACTATACTATAACATCGGAGCTCATTAAATTTCAATTAACAGCTCAATCCAATTAAGACTAAAATATGAACACATAAATTTCAAAATTGGTATTGATCAAACAGCTACCAACTTGTCAGGGTATGTTAAAGGGTAAATCTAAAAAATATTGACCAACTTATAAAAGTTGTGACTACTACTTTAACCAAAATTAACATTTTAAAATGAAATCAACTAGCTTAATTAAATAATTGTACATTTCCACTAAAAACTAAAACAAATGTCCTTTCAACTCACAAATATCATGACAGAATTAAGTGTTTTATAAATACTTAAAACAATCATAATGAGATTTTATTCTAACTTTTTGGAAGATAACCCAATTAAAGAATTTTATATGCATTTTGTTTTTTATAATATTAGTACTCATTAAGAGATCATATTAAAAAATAGGAGCATTGGGATCCTCTATGAAGCTTTAATTAGCATTAGTAGTTTTGAGGGGTAGCCTTGTTTGTCTTTGCCCAACATTGGCCCTCACCTCATTCAAATTTAGTTGGGATGATAGATAAGCCATAAAAAATTTATTATAAAATATCACTACATTATATGAGGGAGATGTACACTTGTAACTCGTTTAATAAGATTGAATGTAAAGTATTACATAAATTAAATAAAAAAAAGAACATTGGTAGATAAGTCTTTTGGGTAATGATTATGAGAATTGATTTTTTGATCGTTGGAGAAAAAGTGGATCTTATTTATGAGTGAAGAAGTAAAAAATGAATGCTGAAATAATGAAGTAATGGTTAAACAGTTGATCTTTTAGCGTGAAATATTGCCATCAAACGGGGGCCAATTGAAGAACATTCGTGGCTTGTTTAGTAAGATCGAATGTATAGAATTAGATAAATTAAAGAAGAAAAGTAAGTTAAAATTTTATCATTAGTGTTCAATCTTATTCAATATTGTGTACTAAGCATTCATGGAAAGTATACATAGGAAGTGTAAATAACAATTTTACATTGTGTAAGATTTAAAGCTTCTTAAAAAAGAGAATGGCTGAAATTAAGTGAATTATATTTCAACGGTAAAACTAAGATAACAAAAATAAATTATGGTTGCTCTTAAAGCTTGTTATAACCATAAACCAATCAACGAAGGATTTATTTATTATTTAATTTCAATGATTAAGTTTTTTATTTGGATAAAAAAAAGAATGATGATCATTTTATGACTTGTTTTATTTTTAATCTGGATTCTATTTTCTTTGTTAGATATATTAAAAATTAGACAATTTGCTGATTTAATCCAATTTTAAGATACTATTATTATCGTGATTAAATGGCAAACCGCAATTAGTCTAAGACTCAAGTATAAATATTATTTAAAAATAAATTTATTATCTCTTTAATAGTTTATATTTTTAAATAATAAAAAATTCTATATAATATCAGATCATGAAAAGAATCAAAGTGACATATAAATTCTACTATTTTATGTGTATATTGAATGACAATTTTCGGACGATTAGTAACGCCTAAATGAGGTCTGTGCGCCTTTAGGTATGCAATTACCTAGTGTCAATTAAAAAAAAAATTTATAAAAATAAGCGAATATCCTATTAAAGTTGTGTCTAACGACTATTGAAAAATAAAAATTATCGTTTTTGCATCATACTATATTTTTAAATTATATGGAATAAAATAGTCTAATAGTTGTTAGATATTTTTCATCATTTTGCATGTATTTATTTTTTTGTTTTGCGAATGATTTGCAGCTTCGACTAGTGTTTGCTGCTGCGCAACGGGGATCAACCTGCTCGGTCAGGTCGCTAGGGTCGAGGGGGCAGCGGCCCCTGTGGGGGCTCGGGGGCAACACCCCTGAAAGAAAATTTTATTTTCAAAAGTTTTTGAATATGTGCATCTGTTCGTTTTGACTGTTACTTCCAACAGATGTGTTCTTCATTTCAAGGGACATACCTATTTAAACGGTTGCCTCAATTTCTATAAATTTTGTGTGAATTCTCGTTTGCAAAACACATTAAAAAAATATTCTTCTCTTTTTCTCTTGGCATCATTAGTTTTTTTTTTTTTCCGAGTGTCTTCTTGGTTTGATCAAATATTCACAATTTGAATCAAAGGCTTCCATTGTATCTTGAAAGATATTTTCTATCATACCCCAGTCATGACTTCGTTGGATAGGGGAGAAACATCTCTTAAAAGATAATATTTTTCGTGCTTTGGAGTTCAATAAGTTTTCAGATTTTCCTACATTTTTCACAACAATAGTTTACTCCTAAATCCTAGGGTAGAAATAACAAAATTCTTCACTCTCGACTAGCTTGTACAGGGTGTCTTCAATCTTTTCATTTCATTTTATTTTTTGATTTAATAATATTTAAAAACTAAAAGTATATTAAAATGTAAAATAATTAACATAGTAGTAAATGGGACATTTTAATCTCCACCCCAGTCATCTCTCATCCCGCAGTCGAAGCTGCCACCATTGTAATTCCTACCTCAGGGGTGGAAGTTAGACGTGCAAATATCGAATACATGTTCATGTTGAGACAATTATTTTGTACATGTGCAATGAATTTGCTACATTAGATTAAATATGTGAAAACGTGTTAGGACATTTGAGTCAACACGAAGCATGGAACATGCCTTGTCATGAGCCATACCCAACTGTAGGGTTTGAATGGTATGTCTGAATCATTATGGACTATCTAATCAAGCTTATTTAAAAGGAAAATCGGAAAACGAAATGGCCAACTTGAATTGGGTCATTCAAACTTACTTTACATCTCTTATTCGAATAGACATGTATCGACTCACATTAAAACTAGACGTGGCAATTAAAATAGCAAGTGCATGTATGGGATTAATATATGTGGTTGACCACGGAAGTGCATGTCACGTTACAAGACAATGGACTTGTCAATCTCAAATATGAGCATCATACAAAGTCATATTCCAACTAAAATGAAATTAATTTGGATACTTGACATACAAAATGAGTTTTTATTTATTTTTTATTTTGTCAAATTTGTGAAAAACAAAATTACTTGTAATGCTCAAAGACATTCTTAGTGCACAATCAGTCATTATTTGTCTATTATTCTCTAAAATTTCTTTTTTCTAGCTCATTTTCACAATAAAATATTTTATACGTAAACTTAAATTTTTTTTCTAATTTTTAACTAGACGTTCTTCAAAAATTTATGAGGCGTGTTGGGTGTATAGACCCAAATTTCACAGACCTATTACAGATGTCTCACAATAGAGGTGGGGTCGTAATTTTTTTGGTCATTTTTTATTACGTTGGATTCCACGTGAGGTCGAGGCATGTGAAGCTTTCGATTTTCTCCTGCGAAAATAATTATGTACACTGAGAATTGTTCAAATATTATTTTTCCAAAAAAGGGCTCAGTTACAGACCTTGACCCCATCATAATTGACAAATGCAAAAATATACCATCATCGTTAATATATTCTGACACGTAGCAGACAATTATTTCAATTTTTCAATTAGGGTTGAATAATGATAAGGGACCAAATTTAGGGTCAATCGTCTGTTTGGACATTGCATATTTTAAGGATCTGAACAAATTTTCTTCAAAGGAAGAGAAGTATACCTATTTCCAGCTAGTGGTTCGAACCACAGTAGAAAATCAGATACAACAAAAACAAAATGTGGTGGTCGGTGGGGTACACTACAATATAGCTATTTGCTTTCTCTTCTGTTAGTGGAAGAATTAACCTATTTGCACAATCATAATTGAGAATGTTTAATGTGACAAAATTCGAACAGTTGATTTAATTTTTTTTTTAAATTTATTTCAATTTTTCAATTAGGGTTGAATAATGATAAGGGACCAAATTTAGGGTCAATCGTCTGTTTGGACATTGCATATTTTAAGAATCTGAACAAATTTTCTTCAAAGGAAGAGAAGTATACCTATTTCCAGCTAGTGGTTCGAACCACAGTCGAAAATCAGATACAATAAAAACAAAATGTGGTGGTCGGTGGGGTACACTACAATATAGCTATTTGCTTTCTCTTCTGTTAGTGGAAGAATTAACCTATTTGCACAATCATAATTGAGAATGTTTAATGTGACAAAATTCGAACAGTTGATTTAAATTTTTTTTTTTAAGTGGATGAATGTAATGATAATTGTCAAACTACGTTTAATGATGTGGGCCATATCTAATTTTAACAATCGTGTTCATGTTCAATACCGTATACCAAATACAAATCAGATAAGTCCCAAGATGGTGCCAGGTTACCATTATCATTCACAAGATATGTTTCAAAACTCACCCAGAAAACAATAAAATTTCATCATCTTTCCAATCTTTTTTGTGTAAGCTGTACAATCAATTATTCAATTCCCCTCCCACCCACTTTTTGAATCTTTTTTGGGAAACACTTGCTCCCATACTAAATCTTTACATACACCAAAAAAATACTTCAAAGAAAAAAAGGAGCACAAAAACCAATATTTTCCTTGCGCATCAGTCGCACAATGAACTTACTCCGGTGAGGGCAGAACCAATAAAAGATAAACTCAGCCATAAGCAAGCTTTGGTTCTTCTTGCTGCCAAAAACTCTACCAACCCAACATCATACATCGGTAATGACACGAGCTTGACAAAAAAGGAGAATGGTTTCGATGTCTACATTCACGGACTTGTCTATTCCAAACTGTCTTACTTCATTGATCCGAGCTTTCTTGCTTGTCTATTAGACCTGGCTTCAAGATTCACTTAAGGTCTCGTTGTAATCATCTATCCTCTTCAAAGATTCTCCTTATGAAGTCTCGAAATCTTTTGGAATATAGTCTTGGATCAACAGCTGAGATTAAGGTGGGGTCGACCTGTAAAGATTTGTATGCATGTTCTAGTTTCTTGCTAATATCGTAGTCTTGTAAAATGTCGATGATCCCAAAGTAGAGGACTACTTCGTATACTTCACCACTACAGGAAGGAGACGAATTGCTAAATCGACCAGGAGTGTACTGAACAAAATTACTCCTTCGAGCAATTCGCTCTGCTCGTGCAGGCATGTTGGCCCCTAGCCTGATCCATGGTTTCCTGGTAAAAAAAACAAATCACATAGAAATTCACATATGCACACAGCACTAGAAAAAATAAATCAAGAACATTTCTCAAATGTGCAAATAATAAGTAATAGAACTTTGACAGCAGCAGAATCGCGCACCTCCCAAATTTGTCCAGGATATTATCATTTTGGAAATGAAGACCAACTAAGAGACTATAATCCATGATTCTCTCTGCCTCTAAGAATTCACAGTCTAGATCAATTTGTCTGTCAAGATAATAGCCAAAGTGAGAAAATGCCAAAACATGGTGGAACAGAACGATATATGAACAAGAGGAGAAACTAGACTAACTTGATTAATTCTTGATACCAATAGTTTGGGAGGCGGAACACAAAGTTTAGGTCGAGGTCCTTAAGAGTTGTGCTTTCATCAATCTCTCTATCAGACTTATCACTTGTTCGACCATGGGACGATCCTTTCAAATCAAACCTTCTATGGATTCGATACTCTGAGCAGAACAAGTTTCCCATCACAATGAACCGTGTCTAGTTTGTAATAACATAAAACTAATTAGTCATACAGCAGATACATTTCTGATAGCAGAAGAATTTTATTTTCAACATCAACCACATACCTTGACGCCACCCACTGGTTTGACGCAATGGACACCGTAGAACTTCGTGACAAGAGAATTTTTATAGCGACAGAAATGTTCGTAATAACTTGGAAGCATCTTAAGAAGAACCTGAAGAAAATAGATTACCTAATTTCAATTAGCAAATTAATAAAGTTCAACTGAAAGACCTCTAACAAATATTTTAATTACTGCCAATTACGCTGTGATCATGATCATAAATCACATCTTTTTCATACTTATACAAATCGAATAAATTGGTAACTAACCTTGACTTCAGATTTCTTCACTGTTTTGATCATAAACCTGTCGTCCTGAGTCAAGTAAAACAAACTTCCACTTTTCCCAGGGGATGAAAGTTCCCTCAAAGCATCGCTTCCACAAACGGCTAGCATGTAATCAGCGGGATCTACTTGAAATAACTCCCTTAAATGTCTGAGAAACCCAATTGAGCATTAATCAGTTCAGAATGCAATCAATGACGATTGCTCTAAATGCTACTATAATTGTTAAGTACAACATATTCACATATATGAAACTAAAAGATTAACTATTGAAGATCAGCATTCTAACACATTCAGAGCCATATTTATGTGGAGTGTTTACCTAAACACCACAGGACAGTAATCCTTCCACCGGAACTCCAAGGATTGATGGGACGGTGTAATTTTTGAACCTTGAGGAGGAAACCTAGTCCAGAACTTCTCTTTAGGATCGAAATCGCTGAGCTTAAGATCCCGGGATATGGAAGCATGCTTCCCAACAGAATACCTAAACAAGAACAATTACCAATTCAATAGAAATCAAGTTATACCAACACCCCTATGCTTGAGAAATTGCATTATCAACATGATCAGATCAAAACACAATTAAATTTTACCTAATTCCCAATTGGAGATTAAGCATCAAAGCATAATTCTTATGCTCTTTAGATATAGTCTGTCCTGCCTTCTTCACTTCCCCACTAAAACTACAAGAATTCCTCCGTAATTGCCTCACTCCATCGTGATTTCTATATAACAACGATGCCTCCACATTATCGATAATATCACACGTTATATCCCCAGCCACACCCTCTGACTCCCAAATGCATATTCTTGGGAAAGTCCTCTCCATCAACCCCTCGTCCACTGACCACCTCTTCTTCCTACCACCACCTATCATTACATCCATTCTCTCCTCCTTTGCTACCAATAACTTATCATCAAAATACCTCTTAAATCCCTCCTCATTCTCATCATTTCCATTAACATTATTACAATTATTTGCAGGATAAAAAGTACCATTCAAGATTTGATCACTATCGATGTTTCTACATGAGTCTTTCGGCCAGCAGCCGATATAGCAACTCCCATCGGGCCATGTAAAAACCCCATCTCCCTTTGGAATCCCAGTCTCCCAATTCCCATCATATCTATTCCCATTGTTCCAAACTAAAACACCTCTTCCATGAATCATCCCATTCTTCCATTCACCAACATACTCATTCCCATTCCTCCATGTATACCTCCCCTGCCCATCTTGCAAATTCTTTTTCCATTCGCCCTCGTAGTAATCCCCATTTCCATAATGCTTCACTCCATATCCGTGCTTACGATCACCGACCCAGGAGCCCTTATACATATCCCCATCAGAACCTATGTAAGTGCCACTGCCCTCCATTCGACCATACTTGAATTCGCCTTCAAATGTTGCGCCTGATGGCCATGAAAACTTCCCTTTGCCACAGGCCTTCCCCTTCCTCCATTCCCCTTCATACATACACCCATCTTTCCATAGGTATTTACCCAATCCATGAGGTGTATTATTTGAAAATTTTCCAGAATACAGATCCCCATTTAGAAGCAGCTTTTCTGACATATCATCTGCTTTATCTGAAGGTGTAATTCTACGGCTCGTGAACTGAGATTTGTTTCTGGGCATAACGATAACTGATTTTGCTTCACTAATTGTAGCATTAATTGCTGAAATCTCACTGGACTTTTCCGATCCTCCCTCAAAATTCTCTTCGTTTTCCTCTAACCCATAATTTTTCTTACCGTTTTCCTCTTGGTGTGGCATTCTTCTAGGGAAAATGAGGTTTTTGAAGAGAAAGTAAGTAGGATTTGTTCAACTATTCCCAGTAATGTTTATGAACAGCTGGGAAATCCAGTTTCTGCACCATTTCTCTATTACGTATAGCTTGTGCCTTGTATACCGTATGGAATATGGAAGGTTTTGTAGAGAGAGAAACAGGAAACAGATAATTGAGTGCCTAACTGTGTGAAAGAGAAAGTGAGGAAAAATGTGAGAAGTGAATCGGCATTGAGTTAATTAAACGTGTGGCAACTCAACAATTACTTGCTGATTGAAATTTAAATTGCTACACAATATTCATTGAAATATTGATTAGTTTATCCCTCCATCACCATAGCCAATTTCATTTGTACAGGTGCACAAATATACCCACGTGGCAAATGAAAAAATGATGTGACATACAAATGTGTAAATCATAGCTATGTCATCAAAAATTTGTATTTTGTAAATAAAAAAACGTGAAATTAAAAATGGTTTTGCATAATCTTCATCTTTTGACTATTTACACTTTGATCCTTAAACTTTTATTTTCTTCCATTTTTAGCCTCTGTTTGTCATCCTTTTAACAAATTATATTGTTTGATATAGTAATATTTTTCGCCACATATTTATACAATAAAATATTCTACACAAACTAATAAAGTTTCTCTAAATTTTAACTACACATTTAAAAAAAAAAAAATACTATTTAAAACACTATAATTTCTTAGTCCTTTTTGGCTTATTTTTCCTAAATTTTATTATATTCATCAGTGCTGTCCTACAAAACATAATTTATATAGAATTAAGTCATATTCCAAAATACTTACCAACAATTATTCATGTCTGTGACTTAAATAAGTATGTAAAATGGACTTATCATTCAGCAAATATGTCAACAGCATTTGTTTTCAACATAGTTAGAATAGATACGTTTGAAAACTCATCACTCCTAATGACTGTTACTAGAAAGCTTGTTTCAACTCCCATACCTTTCCACTATATACATTCAAAAGCTACTCGTTTTCAGTGAGTAAGTGATAATCATATTTTAAATTTCAGTAACCACTCATTTATTTAACTCAGCGACATTATGTTTGCAAAATATGTATGAGCTATATAAATCGATTCATACAAGTGTAAATACAATAAAGTGTAAGTAATTGTATGTATAATACGACATTTTTTATTTGTTTTTGTTTTTTTAATAACGCCCTTATGAATGAGGATGTGCCTCTAATCTGAGTGTCAAAATGAGTGGACCAATTAGATGGAGCGACATGTCATGTTTTATAAATGTGTCAAGTAGCTTGAGTGAAACAAAAAATAAAATAAAATAAAATAAAATCAATTTACACTCTAAATTTACAAATGTATTACACATACATACTATTACAGCATGTACATTTTATAATTTGGGGGGAGGGGGGATTATGCACACCTAATCAGGGTAATGAGTTAATGGTAGAATCGATTTGAATAATCCAGTCTAAAAATAATCGCACCATTACCTAATGCACCCTTTTCCCTTCTCTTTATATATATATATATATATATATATATATATATATAAATTATTTCTAAGAATAAAAAATTGATTTTAAACATATTTAAATAATTTTATAAAATTACTTTGTTTTTATATAAAAACATATATAGGAAGTTGATATAAGCATCAAAGCATAATTCTTATGCTCTTTAGATATAGTCTGTCCTGCCTTCTTCACTTCCCCACTAAAACTACAAGAATTCCTCCGTAATTGCCTCACTCCATCGTGATTTCTATATAACAACGATGCCTCCACATTATCGATAATATCACACGTTATATCCCCAGCCACACCCTCTGACTCCCAAATGCATATTCTTGGGAAAGTCCTCTCCATCAACCCCTCGTCCACTGACCACCTCTTCTTCCTACCACCACCTATCATTACATCCATTCTCTCCTCCTTTGCTACCAATAACTTATCATCAAAATACCTCTTAAATCCCTCCTCATTCTCATCATTTCCATTAACATTATTACAATTATTTGCAGGATAAAAAGTACCATTCAAGATTTGATCACTATCGATGTTTCTACATGAGTCTTTCGGCCAGCAGCCGATATAGCAACTCCCATCGGGCCATGTAAAAACCCCATCTCCCTTTGGAATCCCAGTCTCCCAATTCCCATCATATCTATTCCCATTGTTCCAAACTAAAACACCTCTTCCATGAATCATCCCATTCTTCCATTCACCAACATACTCATTCCCATTCCTCCATGTATACCTCCCCTGCCCATCTTGCAAATTCTTTTTCCATTCGCCCTCGTAGTAATCCCCATTTCCATAATGCTTCACTCCATATCCGTGCTTACGATCACCGACCCAGGAGCCCTTATACATATCCCCATCAGAACCTATGTAAGTGCCACTGCCCTCCATTCGACCATACTTGAATTCGCCTTCAAATGTTGCGCCTGATGGCCATGAAAACTTCCCTTTGCCACAGGCCTTCCCCTTCCTCCATTCCCCTTCATACATACACCCATCTTTCCATAGGTATTTACCCAATCCATGAGGTGTATTATTTGAAAATTTTCCAGAATACAGATCCCCATTTAGAAGCAGCTTTTCTGACATATCATCTGCTTTATCTGAAGGTGTAATTCTACGGCTCGTGAACTGAGATTTGTTTCTGGGCATAACGATAACTGATTTTGCTTCACTAATTGTAGCATTAATTGCTGAAATCTCACTGGACTTTTCCGATCCTCCCTCAAAATTCTCTTCGTTTTCCTCTAACCCATAATTTTTCTTACCGTTTTCCTCTTGGTGTGGCATTCTTCTAGGGAAAATGAGGTTTTTGAAGAGAAAGTAAGTAGGATTTGTTCAACTATTCCCAGTAATGTTTATGAACAGCTGGGAAATCCAGTTTCTGCACCATTTCTCTATTACGTATAGCTTGTGCCTTGTATACCGTATGGAATATGGAAGGTTTTGTAGAGAGAGAAACAGGAAACAGATAATTGAGTGCCTAACTGTGTGAAAGAGAAAGTGAGGAAAAATGTGAGAAGTGAATCGGCATTGAGTTAATTAAACGTGTGGCAACTCAACAATTACTTGCTGATTGAAATTTAAATTGCTACACAATATTCATTGAAATATTGATTAGTTTATCCCTCCATCACCATAGCCAATTTCATTTGTACAGGTGCACAAATATACCCACGTGGCAAATGAAAAAATGATGTGACATACAAATGTGTAAATCATAGCTATGTCATCAAAAATTTGTATTTTGTAAATAAAAAAACGTGAAATTAAAAATGGTTTTGCATAATCTTCATCTTTTGACTATTTACACTTTGATCCTTAAACTTTTATTTTCTTCCATTTTTAGCCTCTGTTTGTCATCCTTTTAACAAATTATATTGTTTGATATAGTAATATTTTTCGCCACATATTTATACAATAAAATATTCTACACAAACTAATAAAGTTTCTCTAAATTTTAACTACACATTTAAAAAAAAAAAAATACTATTTAAAACACTATAATTTCTTAGTCCTTTTTGGCTTATTTTTCCTAAATTTTATTATATTCATCAGTGCTGTCCTACAAAACATAATTTATATAGAATTAAGTCATATTCCAAAATACTTACCAACAATTATTCATGTCTGTGACTTAAATAAGTATGTAAAATGGACTTATCATTCAGCAAATATGTCAACAGCATTTGTTTTCAACATAGTTAGAATAGATACGTTTGAAAACTCATCACTCCTAATGACTGTTACTAGAAAGCTTGTTTCAACTCCCATACCTTTCCACTATATACATTCAAAAGCTACTCGTTTTCAGTGAGTAAGTGATAATCATATTTTAAATTTCAGTAACCACTCATTTATTTAACTCAGCGACATTATGTTTGCAAAATATGTATGAGCTATATAAATCGATTCATACAAGTGTAAATACAATAAAGTGTAAGTAATTGTATGTATAATACGACATTTTTTATTTGTTTTTGTTTTTTTAATAACGCCCTTATGAATGAGGATGTGCCTCTAATCTGAGTGTCAAAATGAGTGGACCAATTAGATGGAGCGACATGTCATGTTTTATAAATGTGTCAAGTAGCTTGAGTGAAACAAAAAATAAAATAAAATAAAATAAAATCAATTTACACTCTAAATTTACAAATGTATTACACATACATACTATTACAGCATGTACATTTTATAATTTGGGGGGAGGGGGGATTATGCACACCTAATCAGGGTAATGAGTTAATGGTAGAATCGATTTGAATAATCCAGTCTAAAAATAATCGCACCATTACCTAATGCACCCTTTTCCCTTCTCTTTATATATATATATATATATATATATATATATATATAAATTATTTCTAAGAATAAAAAATTGATTTTAAACATATTTAAATAATTTTATAAAATTACTTTGTTTTTATATAAAAACATATATAGGAAGTTGATATAATATAACTTCTTTAGAAAACTCGTTTACAAGAAGCAGAAATTTTACTAAATAGATCCTCAAAAACTTTATCACTTTATAATAGCAAATTTGTTATCCCGTGATGTTGGGATCATAGGATCTAGTTTTATCGTACATTTTATTTCAGGGTTTTGAAACTTTAGAATGTCTTATAATTGACTAAAATTTTGTATATCGTACATTTTATTTCAGGGTTTATCGTCACTCTAGTTACAAAAAGCAATTTTATTGTTTCAATTTGAGTCACGGAAATGTAGTCTATTATATTATAAATTTGATTATTTAGTTGTTGGTGTTATCCTACAAATATTGTCATCACAATTATTGAACATGACTAGCTAAAAAATGAGTGTATTTTCTTGCTCGTCATTTTTTTCCAACTACCCATTGATACAATTGTCAGCTCTTTTAATGAAAAATAATATATATTTTCCAACTACCCATTCATACGTTTTAGCCAAAGTTCATTATGGTTTCTATTTAATTTGGTCATGCCCACAATGACATGGAATCCAAATACTTTAATGAATTGTATAAAGGCATGTTTGGGAACTTATTGATAGTATTTTAAGAATAATGAGAGAATTTTCAATTTTTTTCTTCTTTAATTTTATTCAGAATTGTTCAGTTTAATATCTAAATTTGTTCGTCTTTTTTATCTAAGAAAGATACATTATATGAAAAAGAATATTATTATACTAAAAATATCTCTTTCATATCTTCGACTGGAACTCAAAATGTTCGATTGATTTTTATACAAAATAGATGTGAGCTCTTTCATATCTTCGACTGGAACTCAAAAGGTTCGATTGATTTTTATACAAAATAGATGTGAGCGCTCTTTGTAGTTTTGGAGCAGTGGTGTAGTCAGAACAAGTGATTGCTGAGATTTACGTAAATGCCCGAACTAATCTATGTTATTGCAGTATATTTTGGAGAGATTATCCTATTTGTGCCTTATAAATGTCTCAAAAGAAAAATATAGAATATGATTCGTCGAACCTTGTTAATGTTGCTCGCCATTTACACAATTGAGTCTAACCCGTGAGGACAAAATATAAGCTTATATTTGATTTATGCATACGCTAAAGATGATACATTTATTTGAAATCTTGTCAAATTCGACATACTTGTAACTAAAATTTGAAATATGTGAAACTTTAATTACAAATATTTAAATATGGTTATAGAAATTATACAATTTGGATTGTTCTATAAATTCATATAGCTCTTCAATAAATACATATTTAGCACGTTCTTACACAAGTGAGAAATTATATTTGAAAAGAGTGGACAATTAGAGAAATAGGTATTTATGTTACCTAACGGTAGTAGGAGAGAAATCTTGAAAAAAACTAGACCATATAATCGGATGACTAAATCTTCTTGGACAGGGCGTGGATCTGGCGCCCTGGATGGACAGGGCCATATTGTCCCTGATCGTCTAGAATACCTCTAATAAGATAAGTGAAGAATATTTAGACAATAATTAAAATTTTCTAACAAATCATTTTCAATAATTTTCACGTTCTTGCAACTATAGACAGGAGTAGGTAATAATATAGAAACACATAATATTTGTTTATATAGTTTCAACATTTACAATATATACTTTCATTTTGTGTTTTGACATTGATTCCATCGTTTTTGACTAGCTATAATTAATCAATGATTAAATAATCTTGGAAATAATTAGATAAAGTCGATGGTTGTACCTATGAAAAAATTAATTGAATAAAATACTTGTGATCATGGACACGTTGATGTAGCCTCTTTCTACCAGGTCAAAGTCAATTAATTTAGACATGTTTGTCACTACTCTTAATTAATCTTGTAAGTTGTAATACAACGATTATGATTTAAATAGTAATGATTTGTTTGGTTAATAAGTTTATCGTAGTTGCATAACCAATTTTTCGAAGACTTACCAATTTTAATTAATTTTTTAAAATTTTCATGCAACTCTTGACGAGTGTGCATATTTTACTCATGAATTTATGCCAATTTTAACTTGATTGTAAGTTAGATTTTGTGAGTATTGAACGTTTTTAATGTGTTTATTAATATTGTTTTATAGGATTGTTGAGATGGTAAAAGACTTGAAAAAGTTCATCAAATAAAATTAGTGGCATGGATCAAAAAGAAATTGGTGATAAAAGGGGAAAAG